TCAGAAATGAGCGAACGAGCTCCGCGACACTGAAAATCCAGACTTAAATCTGAAGGTACCTTACTAAGCCACTAAATCCTGCTTTGTAGTGCAGGCCCTAGGTCAGAGAAATAACTATAGAGGGGGGAAGAAGAGAAGACAGCTGCAATAAGGGCTGTTTGGATAACGTTCTGTCTTTTTATTCTTTGTGCGAGCCGGTGCTGGAAATCAATGGAGTTTATTTAAAGCAGATCAAAAGCTTGTGGCTGCAGAAGATCTGCATCAAATCCTTTTGTGACTATTTGCCAAGTGTCCTCTGAAAGTTCAARTTCAGGGCAACGGCACAAGTTCAGAATGTTTATGACAAAATGACTGAAGTACAGCTTAGTTCGGACGTGAAACGCTGTTATTTTACACTAGCTTCGAAAAATGCAAACAAAGGCTCCCTGTTCTGCCTATTTTCTTCTAAATCTGTGTCTTGTCTTTGCAAAACCAACTAAAGTCTAAAGATAAACTAGAGAATATCCATTTCCTGGGAAAATGCAGCGTGAAGGCTTGATGCTGAAATATTTTTGCTGAAAGCTGAAGCTAAAGTCGAGCCAAAAACTTTTAATAGCAAAACTGTTGATGTGACTTAAACATGAACAGCTAAAAAAATAGGAAAACTAAAGTGAAGAACTAGTATAAAATTGGCAAAAAAATATGTCCAAAAAGCTGAACAGAGCAAATATTCAGTTAAAAGAGCAGACAAATTTAAATATTACCGAAAAGTAGCTTAAAAAAAAACACAAAAGAGCTGAAACTAGCAGAAAGAAATTGCAAGAAGCCAAATGAGGGAAATTTACAAACAAAAATAAAAAAGAAAAAACTTGTTGAAGTTTAGACAAAAGAAAAAAATAACAGGCAGAAAAATGGCAAACATGTGACCTTGACCTTTTATTCTGTGACCTTGAAATTAATTGGTGTCACAACTGCAACAGATGTCACTAGCTGCGTTTCCATTGAACATGAAAATGCACAAATTAGAATTTCGAAAATAAATTTGCTCAATGGAAACACGTCAATTTAAAAAAATATGTTTTTCGACAAAATGTTTTTGCGCTAGGATGAGATGGTTTTTCGGCCGTATCGAAATTGGTGTTTTTGGCAAAACTGCAATGGAAACACGTTTTTCGCATCATGGGAGTCACGTGATCAACAAYCGGCTGTTTCTACTGGCGCAAAAGACGACGACAAAGAAGATAACAGGAAGTAGAAGTAGCAGTAATATCACAGAAGTAGTATAAAATAGTAAACTCACCGACTACAATTTCCCAAAAACACAGCATACGTAGCCGCTCCCAAGTAGGGGCTTGTCGCTGGAAAGCCTCGATAAAAGACACCAACGTTTTTCATCAGTGGACAAAAGACAGTAGTGCTAAAGGCACGGATATAACAGACTTTGTTTTAACCAGTTGGAAACAACATTTAAGACTTAACTTTAATATTCTTTTAGTCATTAGAAATA